AATGACATCAAAAGTGGTTATGTTTACATTTAAGTGAGTAGTGTTGGTTAGCAGCAGCACCGCAGTAAGTGATTGACAATATGATTGTTTGCATTTCCATGCGATTTTCTTTCCCTTCAGCGCTCTCTCGGTCACCCGCACTCTCATTCCTCCAACTCACGTATTCATGTGATTTTTTTTTATGGGTCTTTCTTTAATAATAATTTCTCACTGTTTGTTTGGTGGGAGAAGAAGATTTCTTGAGAGAGCATGGAAGAGAGAGAGACAGAGAATTCATTCACGTGTTTGTAATGCGATGTGTGTTTGCATTTGGGGGGCCTAGTTTGTTGTGGTCGAGGGGATACTCTTGGCTCCCACAATATAATGCTCCGTTATGTGTAGGAGCAAACGTAATGCTCTCTTTCTCAAATGCTACTCACACATTGAAATAAATGAAGACATTATTAGGGAACGACGACGACACTCATCGTTTGCTTGGTTCTCCCGATGTTTTCCGTTGATAAAGATTGAAATACAACGACACGAACAAAAAAAATTAAAACAAAAACAATTTCTACTTCTTCGTTTCACCCAACTGAGTTCAGTACATTTGTGCACTTATGAGAGTCAACATGTTGTTTTGAAATCCAACCAAGCAAAAATATCGTCTTAACTCAAACTACACTCCAGAGAAATTCTAAAAAAATAAAAATCACAAATTTTCAAAACACAAAAATAAAAACGAAAATAAAACAAAATATATTTTCAAAAAAATAATTTTTTAAAGGAATATTTTTTTTTTTATAAAAATTCCCAAAATACATTTCCAAACCAAAATAAAACCCAGTGCAATTTTTTGTTGCGAAAAACACAACACAAAAAAAATATTGAAAAAGTAATTGAAAAAAGTGCCTAAATGTTTTCAATGAATTTTCTTTTGTTTTTTTTGAAAATTCATTGTTAAAATTAAAAATATATCATCCAACTACCAGAGACCCAACAAAAATCGGGGTCAAAATCTAAAATATCATGTGGAGGAATGACAAAGTGTGCGCGTGTGTGTTTGTGTGGTGGTTTTCATAGATATATATATGTATAGATTTTTTTTTGAAGGTAATAAACGAAGAAAATATAGAAGAAGAACAACAACCAACAACAAGAATAATAAAAAAAACACAAAAAAATAGACCGCAAATTGCCGAAAAAAAATATTTGTAATAAATTTGTTTTGAAATACGAGAAAGAAGAAGAAGGCAAAAAAAAGAATGCAGCAATATTGAAAACAAAATTTTGGAATGCAAAAATAAGAACAAAAACAACAAAAAAAAATTATGAATTAGAGATCTGAAAAAAAATGAGCATCAAAAATAAATAAAATGTATTTAGTTAATTCAGGAGATTTTTTAATAAAAAAATAAAAAAAAATTCTGCCTATTAAAAATTTGAAATATTTAAAATCTGAAAAAATATAAGAAAAGTAAAAAAAAATTTCCAAAAAAAAAATTGAAATATTTAAAATTCGAAAAAAATGTGACAAAATAATAAAACGGAATAAAATATTTGAGTGATAAAAAATATTTTTTGGCAGATATTTTATAAATAAAAACAAAATTCAAAGGCCATAACATTTTATTTGAAATAAAACGCAAAGTAACCAAAATAGAGGGCGGGGGCAACTTCCCCCTTCTTCCACATATTTTAGAAATTTTCGAATTAAGATTCCTCGGAATCCATGCATTTTAGGTATATAGTGTCTTCGGCATTGTTGCAGATAAAAACACGAAGAATATTATTTTCGAACATTTTAACCCTCATGTGAGTCAAAAAGGGGGTCTTTTCGTTTCTTTGTTTAAAATGTGGTTAAAAACTCTCTTTAAACGGTATCATAGCAGGTCAAAATATTCTACAAAATTATCAGTTATTAAATTCTACTATAGGTACTAGAAGGTAGCAAATGTCTAAATCTTACCCGAACACGAGAAATTCATATATATGAAAAACTTATTTTAGGGCTAAAGCCATACTTTGTATGAGTTTTTGCAAAAATCTCCAATAAAGCATTATTTTAGAATGATGATGCCAAAGATAAAAATATTCCCCATCGAATTTTACTATAAGTCACCAAAGAAAAGAAATCTCTATTTCCATTGTATATTTAAAAAATATGGGCATACATTTTCCAAAAAAAAATCACGAAAATATTCCCTAATATTTTTAGATCAATTTTTTCCTTCGACTTTGTTTGAGCTGAGGCCTGAAAATAACATCAAACTTCATTTTAAGCTAAACTTGTCAAAAGAAGAAATATTCTACACCAAATTCTACTATAAATCTCAGAATATACTCTATATCTAGGTACAATAGATTTTATGAAAATTAAATTCGAATTTTTTACGAATAACTTTTTTTCTGGAAAATTCTCACCAAAATGTTTTGGTACGCTTCAACAGCTTTCGGACGAGTGGCTTAGAAATGACAGCAGTCTGAAGTTGGTTGCAGTTTTTTTTATCTCAGCCTGTATATATATGAATTTCTGACCTTTAGGTAAGATTTAGTCTTTTGATGTCTTCCTGGAACCGTAGTAGAATTTTATGACAAAAAAATGTTGAAAATATTTTGATTTGCTACGGTCCCGTTTAAAAGGAGATTTTAACCATTTTTAAAGAGGGGAGCAAAAAGACCCCTGTGTTGACTCGCTTGGGGGCAAAAATGTTTAACACAAAAATTCTGCGTATTTTTATCAGAATTATTGTCGAAGGCACCTAAAATGTGCGGATTCCAAGGAATTTTGAGCAAAAAATTTCAAAACAAAAAAAAAAAAATAAATAAAAAAATTATAATGAGGATGACGGGGAGATTTACCCCCTTCTTTTAGGTTACTTTGTGATGTAAAGTTGTCTTCTTTTTATACCCTCCACCATAGCATGGCGGATACATTAAGTTTGCCATTCCATTTGTAACACCTCGAAATATACGTTTTAGACCCCACAAAGTATATATATTCTTTATCATCATAAAATTCTATGTCGATTTAGCCGTCCCTCCGTCCGTCTATCCGTCTGTGGAAATCACTCTAGCTTCTGAACGAAATGAAGTAGATTGATAAAATTTTACTCAAATGTATATTATGTCTGCAGGACTTTTAGTATTGAAAATGGGTCATGTAGGTCCACGTCTTCGTATAGCCCCCAGTATAACGGTACCTCCCCATATTCGGTATTTTGATGATTTTAGCGACATTATTCACCGGAATTCTTTCAAATTTGGTATTTGAAGTTCGCAATGGATACTACAGCCTAAGACAGAAAATTGTCTGTGCAGGTCCACGTCTTCGTATAGCCCCCATATAACGGTACCTCCCGATATTCGGTATTTTGATGATTTTAGCGACATTATTCATCGGAATTGTTTCAAATTTGATATTTGAAGTTCGAAATGAATACTACAACCTAAGACAGAAAATTGTCTGTGCAGATCCACGTCTTCGTATAGCCCCCATATAGCGGTACCTCCCGATATTCGGTATTTTGATGATTTTAGCGTCATTATTCACCGGAATTCTCTCAAATTTGGTATTTGAAGTTCGTAATGGATGTTACAGCCTAAGACAGAAAATTGTTTGTGCAGCTCCACGTTTTTTATAGCCCCCATATAACGGTACCTCCCGTTATTCGGTATTTTGATGATTTTAGCTACACTATCTACCGAATTTCTTTCAAATTTGGTATTTGAAGTTTGAAATGGATACTACAACCTAAGACCAAAAAATGTCTGTGCAGGTCCACGTTTTCGTATAGCCGCTATAATGCGGTACCATCCGATATTCGGTATTTTTATGATTTTAGCGACATTATTCATCGGAATTGTTTCAAATTTGCTATTTGAAGTTCGTATGGGATACTACAACCTAAGACAAAAAATTGTCTCTGCAGGTCCACGTCTTCGTATAGCTCCCATATAACGGTAAATCCCTTTTTCGGTATTTTGATGATTTTAGAGAACATTATTCACCGGAATTTTTTCAAATTTGGTATTTGAAGTTCGCAATGGATACTACAGTCTAAGACAGAAAATTGTCTGTGCAGATCCACGTCTTCGTATAGCCCCCATAATGCGGTACCTCCCGATATTCGATATTTTGATGATTTTAGCTACATTATTCACCGGAATTGTTTCAAATTTGGTATTTGAAGTTCGTAATGGATACTACAGTCTATGACAGAAAATTGTCTGTGCAGGTCTACGTCTTCTTATAGCCCCCATATAACGCAACCTCCCGATATTCGGTATTTTGATGATTTTAGCTACATTATTCACCGATTTTTTTTATTCAAGTTTCGCATTTGAATATTGTAATGGTTTATGGCAAAGGTTACCTATGCAAGTCCATGTCGTCGTATAGACCCTAATATAACAGCTACATTCGGTATTTTTAGGATTTTAACAGAATTTTTAACGGATTTTATTGTTTTTGATAATTGCTAAATTAGGTGGAGGGTATTCAAAGTTTGGGCCGGCCGAACTTACAGCTTTTTTACTTGTTGAGCTCTATTTTCATAATCTCCCGAATTTTCCTCGTAATTAATTATTTTGTGTTGCACAATAAAATTAATTAATATTAAAATTAATAGGATAAATAATAAATTCAAAATAATAAATTCAAGCAGAAAATAATACACAAATATTCAAAATTATATTTAAAAAAAATTTGAAATAATTAAAAAAAAATAAGAATAAAAATATTTTTTTTGAAAAATATAAAAATTAAAAAATCTGTGAAATTATTATCCTCCTCTGAAAACCACCACTCATAAGCGTCGCACAAAAAATAGAATAATTGTTAAAACATAAAAAAAAATCTTAAAAAAATACAATTTTGTGTCCTCTCCAAATCTTTTTTTAACGAAACCACCACTTAAAACATTTTCAAAAAATAAAAAAAATTGAAATTTCTCCAAGTGTTTCAAAAGTGAATTCCAAAATTAAATCCAAAAATCCCAATTTTAATTTCTGTTTCCCAGAGTTTTGTGAATATTCACATCAAAATATTTTATTTTGCACAAAAAAGCGCTGTTTTGAAAATAGCCTTAAGCAATGTGACTTAATTGAAGAAAAATCGATACCAGTGTAAACAAAAAATAAAGATTACAAAAAATTGTGAAAGTCCAGTGAAATTCGGTTCTGCCACAAAGAACAAAAACAAACTAAAAGAGAACCTAAAAACAACTAACGTGGTTTAAGCCAATTACCAACGAAAGAAAAACTAACAAACTAAAGCAAATAAATAATTCACAAAAGAATTGGGTATTTTTAACTCAGAAAATAAAAAAACGGACAATACAACAAACTCTTCCCATAACCAAGAAGTAGAAGAAGAGAAACAAGGAAAAATTACGAAAAAAAGGAAAAAAGAACACCCGATGGCCACATTAGCAATAGAACAGAGTAACACCCACTTAACAGTAACGTCGACGTCGGCCAAAGGCAACGCTAACGGTAACGCTAACGCCAACGCCATTGCCATCGCTAAAACCAACGTCAACGCTCTGTCCAGTAGGCCCATTCAAATCCCCACGCTACAACAAAGTGAACGCTTTTCCAGCCAATTATCAACGGGTTCGGCCGACAGTGCCTGTGTTGTGGCAGCCAGTACCACCAGCACCGCCAGCAGCAGCAATGATGATGATGGTGGACACACCCCTTGCTCCTCCTTTGTTTCTCTAACAGGGGTGGCGCCCGATGTGCGTCGCAAAGACGATTTGGCCATTACGCAACACAGTGCCAGCCTAAGCTTACATGGCGCCGCTCATCCTAAATCCCAATTGCAGAAACTCAAACAGCCTGGCTACCGGCAATTGTTGTCCCAAGACAGTGGCATTGACAATGACCGCGACTCGGCCGTGGGATCCCAGCAACAGCTGAAATCGGCCCACTGTTCCTCGTCGAGCAATGAATCGATTGGGGCCGCCAACTCTTCGGGAGATCTATCCCATTCGAAATACTCAGAGGATGCCTTGGAATCGGAGTCCTCTAGCGGCTATTCGGGCAGTACCCATAGCTTTGGGGCCCTGAGTTCGGGCAATACTGCCACCCGCAGAATTAAATATAAATCCTGCAACAGTTCCACCACCTTGGGTTTGGGTGTTGAGGATCGCATCGATGAAGTTGAGGACCTGCATTTGGATGATGAAGAGGACGAGGAGGAAGATGTGGAGGATGACGAAGATGCCGTTGATGGTGAAAATCACCACAACGAGGCCGAGGATGATGATGATCCCGATGACAGTGGCCTGCAAATGTGTGTCAGTCCAAATCCCGAAAAGAAGCTACTCCCCGAAAACCAAACAGAATCCAAGGAAAAACAATTAACCGAAAAATCTCCCGAAAATTTGAAAACCCCAAAACTCAAGGGGCAAGTATTGGCCACAGATGGTAACTACTATTTCCCGCTGCTGAATATTTCCGATGATCCGGTGATCAATCCCAAGCTAATCAACAAAAAAGATGGCCTGCAGGATTGCATGTATTATTTGGATGAATTCGGCAGTCCAAAGTTGCGCGAAAAATATGCTCGAAAACAAAAACTCAAAGAACTAAAACAGCAACAGAAAGCCAAGAAAAAAGCTGCCAAGGAGGCAGCAGCCGCCAGCAGCAGTAGTTCCTCAAAGACATCCTCCTCGGACAACACAACCAAAAAACGCCACTGCACATTTACCACCCAGGAGTGTCAGGAGGCCAATGTGGTGGCGGCGGCGAAGGAGGAGCTACAGCCGCTGCAACCCAAAATAAACACAAATGAAACTCATCCCCCCGCCACCTGTAATAATAAATCCAAAAACACCTTAGAAACTCACTGTGATACTAAAGAGAAGAATAGTCATTTAAGTTATGCTAAGAAGTCCACAACTACTGATAGCTGTAAGAAGTCCCTGCTAAAAAATGAGGGTGGCGATGGCGGCGTTACCGTGGCCTCAGAGGCCAAGGCCGATGATGAGCACATTGAGGATGCTGAAAAATGTAATGATGAGAATGGTCCCTGCCCCGAAGATCCATGCAATTTGCGCAAGGCCTCAATGACAGCGTCCTGTGTGAGCTGGACCAAGGTTATGAAGAAATTCAAAAATATGCTGGGAGGTAAATATAAAAAAAATTACAAAAGGTTTATTTTAAAATTTCCAAAAAAATAGATGGCAAGGTTCCGCTTTTCCGTTTAAATCCCCCAGATATATGTTCCAATCCCTTTAAATGTCTCGAAAAACATCAAATTTGATCAACTTATCTATCAATTCCAAGTTACTCGAAGTTACGTCTTGTCTACGACAAATTTTACTGATACGCCATGTGTACCACCCAGTTGTGTTCAACCTTTTTTAATTCTTCTAAAAAAATTTGCAATTTTGTGGCAAAATTTGAATTAGGGGGAAGTGTTTCGAGTTGCTTTATCCGAAATTTACAGTTACGTTATGTATACCACACTGTTACGTTACACTATGAACCTTTTCCACATCTATATTTTCATATTTCGAAACTCCATCTTTTTTTAAGTTTCTTGTGGTTAGTTTTGATTTACATAACGGTTTTTTAATGTTACGTCAAGTCTACGTTACCGTTACGTTATTCTGTATCCCGTTGCCTGATCAAGATTTTTAACTTTTAAGGAAATTTATGAACTTTGAAAAGTATTTTCAATTTAAAAATCACAAAATTTAAAGTTACGTCAAGCTGACTTTCCAGTTACGTCGCAGTTACGTTACAACATTTTTCAATTTCAAAGCAATATTATACTCAAATTTCATCAGATTTGAAATTGCGTATTGTTAAACGGAAGAAAACAACAATTTTTCATTGTTCTTGTTGTTTTTAATTCAACCGAGAATAGATTTCGAAACATATTGTTAATTGTGAAACCTCACATTAGGGTGTGAAATATAACGCAGAACTTTGCGGCAGACTTCCCAAGACAATAGAATTTCTGTATCAGGTGAGCCAGGGTGTCAACTACCTTATAAGAGAACGATTCCGAATAGCTTAAAATTTGTAACTGATGACTCCGAATAGCATTTGGTGACTGTGAAATTCGTTCTGATGACTCCGAAAATCATTCTGATGACTCCGAAAGTCGTCCCTATGACTCCGAAAGTTGTGTTAGTAACTTCGAAGTCCTAGTACTACTCCAAAAGTAATCGAACTGACTCAGATAGTAATCCAGGTGTCTCCGAAAGTCGTTCTGATGGCTTCAAAAATCGTCCTAAAGGCTCGGAAAGTCATTCCGAAGACTTCCAAATTCATTCTGATGACTTCGAAATTCATTCTGATGACTCCGAAAATCATTCTGATTACTTCGAAAGTCGTTCCTTTGTCTCCGAAATTCGTCTCTATGACTCCGAAAGTGGTTTTAGTAACTTCGAAGTCATCTTGACAACTCCGAAAGCAATCGAAGTGACTGAGAGTCGTTCTAATTTCTCCGGAAGTCGTCCTGATAACCTCCAAAGTCGTCTTGAAGACTCCGAAAGTTATTCCGATGACTACGAAAATCATTCTGATTACTCCGAAAGTCGTTCCTATGACTCCGAAAGTCGTTTTGGTAACTTCGTAGTCTTCTTGAGAACTCCAAAAGTAATCGAAGTGACTCTGAAAGTCGTCCAGATGTCTCTGAAAGTCGTCTTGATGACTTCAAAAGTCGTTCTGAAGACTCCGAAAGTCATTCCGATGACTCCGAATGTTATTCCGATGACTCCGAAAATCATTCTGATTACTATGAAAGTTGTCCCTTTGACTCCGAGGATCGTTTTGGCAACTTCGAAGTCTTCTTGACAACTCCGAAAGTAATCGAATTTACTCTGAAAGTCGCTCAGATATCTCCAAAATTCGCCTGATGACTTCAAAAGTCATCCTGAAGTCATCCGAATTGTCGTTTTGGACACTTTAAAGTCATCTTGATAACTCCGAAAGTAATCGTAGTGACTTGACCAACTCCAAAAGCAATTTTGGCGAAAGTAATTTTGGCGATTTCGAAAATCAACTTAATGATTCCGAATGACTTCTAATGCCATCGAAAGAAATTTGATGACTCCGAAAACAAAACAAAAAATCTCTGAATGATTCCAAATTTTATGAGGATGAAATTCAAAGTCATTTCGATGACTCCGAGAGTAATTTCGATGGCTCCGAACGTTTTTTATGTCACTCCTAATGTTATCTTTACGACACTTTATGAATCCGAATATTATTTCATCCTTCCAAAGGTCTTCTCGACGATTTCAAACACCTCCTGTATGCTTTGTAGTTATTCCGAATATATATTATAGACTACTCCAAATACCATTAAGATTATTCCGAATGGCACTTAGTGGCTCCGAATAACATTCAGATGACAAATAATGCCATCCAGCTATCTCCGGATGTCATATGCTAATTCCGAACATGATCTGAATGACTCCGAATTTTGTTTCTATTGTTCCGAATGCTAACTAGGGACTCCGAATAACATCCAGGTGCCTTCGAGTGTCATCTAGATGGCTCCCAATGATATCTAGACGACTCCGAAGGTGAATTAAGCGACTCCGAATTTCATTTCAAGAATTTCGAATGTTATCAAGTTACTCCGAATAGCATCTATGCAACCACAAATACCATGTAGATGACTTCGGATGCCATATGGTGACTACGAATATGATTTTGATGACTCCGAAATTAATTTCAATTATTCCAAAAGTTACCTAGTTACTCCGAATAACATCCAGATACCTTCAAATGCAATTTTGACGGTTCCGAATGACATCTAGACGACTCCGAAAGTAATCTAAATGACTCCGAATACCACTGAGATTATTCCGAATGTCATCATCTAGTGACCCAAAAAACATGTAGACAACTAGGAATGTAATCTAGATGACTCTGAATGTTGTCTAGATTATTCCGAATGACGTTTCGATAATTCCGAATAACATTTCGATAATTCCGAATGTCACCTAGCGATCTGAGTAACACCATAATGACTAAAAATGTTATCTAGATGGCTTCGGATGTCACATAGTGACTAGGAATGTTATTCAGGTGACTCCGAATATTATTTTGTTACTCCGAATACCGAATATATATCACATAGTGACATGATTTAGATCACTCCGATTGTTATTTAGCTAACTCCAAATATTATCTTGTTCACTCCGAATATCGAATAGATGATTCCGAATGTCATTTTATTAATCCGAATACCATACAAATGAATACGAATCTCATTTAAATGATTCCATGTGCCATCTACTGGCTCCGAATTTCATTTTATGACTCCGAATGATGGCTGGTAACTCCGAAAATTTTCTAAATTGCTCCCAATGTCTATAGAATGACTCCGAATATCATATAAATGATCCGGAATGTGGTTTATATGACTCCTCAACACAGTTTTGTGACTCCGAAAAAAATTTTTATTTTTTTTTTTTGGAAAGGCTGGTAACTCTGAAAAAATTTTAAATTACTCCGAATTTTAATAGAGAGACCTCGAATATCATATAAATAATCCGGAAGGTGATTTATATGACTCCTAACATAGCCTTCTGACTCCGAAAAAAAATAAAATTACTCCGAAAATTATTTTTGTGTTTTTTTTTGAAACTTTTTTTGGAATGTCAATTATATGACGCCTAACATGGTTTTGTGACTCCGAAAAAAATTAACATTACTCCGAAAATTATTTTTGTCTTTTTTTTGAAAATTTGAAAACTTTTCAAAATTCTTTTTTATTCTCAGTCATTAACCTTGCCATATTTTATTGTCTTCTATCAAAACCTTGCCACATTTTTGTTTAGATTTGATTTTATTATTATCGATCTAGCCTTATCCTTGATCTTATTTACACGTTTATTGAATATTTTCAAAACAACAATTTGACTAACTTTTTTTCTTCTTCTTCTTTTCTTGTGTATTTTTAGGTAAGTGCCCCACAATCTTTGTTCGGAAAATTATCACATTGTTGTGATTAACAAAATATTTGCTTGCTACCTTGATAAAGAACTTATTGTGTGTTGTTGTTGTTCTTGTAAGGTAAGGTGTGAAATTGAAAACAAAATAATCGGGAACAAAATCTGCCGAGAATTTAATGCAAAACATATATATTTTTTTCTGTGGTGGCAATGAGAGTAAAATAATATATTTATTTGTAAATTTCGTTACCATGTCAGGGTGATTTTGGCGATCATAAACCAGACGACGACGACGATCATAAAGATAATTCAAATAGAAACCAAAAGTTGGGGTGTTATTTCTAAATTAATCTAATCAGAAATCTGCTTATCACATGTTTCTTTTTTCGGTATCATTGTTATTATTATTTTTTTATTTTATTCTTTTTTTTTATTTATTAGGGTAATTGAAATATATGGCCATTATTTTGTGATGTGTTTTTCTTCAGAGCTTATTTAATACAAGATATGAAAATTTCACTTTTTTTTTTTGTTTTGTAAAAAAAAATTAATAAATTCTGACGTCTTTCATCGTTTTTTTTTTTTTTTCAAAATTACTGTAAATGAATATTTATTTCAAAATTCGCCACCTGAAAAAAAGTATTAAAAAACAAGATTTTTCCTGCCTTTTGCATCGCATTCTGAACTTCTTTTCCTATATACACAAATATTGCGTGTATGTTTTGTATTTTCAAAATTACTGCAACTGAATATTAATTTCAGAATTCTCTTTAAAAATTCAAGATAAATTATTTCCTGTAATATTTTTTTTTTTTTTTTTTCAATTTCATTGTGAAATTTTATTTTATTTTTTTTTTTTTTCAAACAAAGTCACATTTATTATAACATTTAATTTGTAATTTCTATTATCACAATTTTACGGTCTAGAAGCCAGCCAGCCAACCAACCACCCACCTCCCGGCCGCCATTGTTTTCAATATTTCTTTGTTTCAATTGTGGCGGTCTGCCGCTGAACAAAGACTTGAATAAACTTTGAACTTTTTTTTATTTTTTTTTTTTCACAATGACAAAGGAATATTATAATAGAAATGGGACCAGACACACGCACATACATTTTCGTAGATGTAACTCAAATTATCTTTAAATATATTATTTGAAAATTACTACAAATATTAAGAAATTGTCCAGGGCATCAAGCCATAGATAATA